ATAATAGCTTACACTTATATAGTGCTTTTCTATACTCAAAGCGCTTTACAGGTAATGGGGACTCCCCTCCACCACCACCAATGTGCAGCATCCACCTGAATGATGCGACGGCAGCCATAGTGCGCCAGAATGCTCACCACACATCAGCTATTAGTGGGGAGGAGAGCAGAGTAATGATGGGGATTATTAGGAGGCCATGATTGGTAAGGGCCAATGGGAAATTTGGCCAGGACACTGGGGTTTAACCCCTACTCTTTTCAAGAAACACCATGGGATTTTTGAAGACCACAGAGAGTCAGGACCTCGGTTTTACGTCTCATCCGAAGGACGGTGCCTGTTTACAGTATAGTGTCCCCGTCACTATACTGGGGCATTAGGACCCACATGGACCGCAGGTTGAGCACCCCCTTCTGGCCCCACTAACACCTCTTCCAGCAGCAACCTTAGTTTTTCCCCAGAGGTCTCCATCCAGGTACTGACCAGGCTCACACCTGCTTAGCTTTCAATCTCTGTCACTGCAGAACTATGAAAATACATGCAGTGCTTTACATTTCTAGCCATCATGAATAACTTTCATGACCAGCACACCAGAGGACTTCAGGGAAAATGCTCCATTTCAGTATGGTAATAAAAGTGTTTTCTTCCAGTCAAGGATCAATTAAAAGAAACCAAACCGAAAGACTTTCCGATTTGCAACGCCTTTACATCACCATACGAAAAAGGGTCTTCAATACAGAAACAGAAAAATCTGTAAAGGGTTTGATTTTGTGAACATAGTATACAGGAACATTAAAAGATCATGCTTTTCTCCAGGAATCACTATTAATAGCACTAGCACATATGATATACAAAGAACCATACTGCTATTCAAAAACATCATGATCTGTTAGCAATGGACAAGACAAGTATCTGCTTCCCCACAAATAAAATTGCATTATCTTGACTTGAAAATGCTGTTTTTGTGTCTGTTTGTAATAATGTATTACTTGAATGTTACATTCTTTTAAATCTAAAGAAATAAGAGAGACTGCATACCTGGTAACCATTAAGGTCTGTATAGAATCGATTACTGCTGTTAAGATCTGATGTTATTCTCATTGCAATTTCACGGTTGAACTCTCCTCTTATATCCACGATATTGGAGATCTCCACAGACTGCCCCTCCACTCCTAAAATTGAACACAGGGATAGAGGCACAATTAAAGCATGCATACCTGGGCTTGGAATGTTTTATTCTTGACTTTGCAGAAAAAATAAAACTTAAAATAATATAACAATCACGATTGACACGAGGAAATATATATATGCTGAAAAGTTATTTAAATATACAGTACTGGTCTTCTAACGTTTATGAAATAAAACATATTAAAAAATTATACAGACACTTGTTAGGCTCTCCAGATCAGACAATAGAAATATACAGTATATTCGTCTACAATCAAAGAAATGCTATTTATTAAATTAAACAGGTATTTGGCATGTATGGGCATTCACAACAGTTATTTTATTTGCTTTAAAGACATGAAAGGTGCTTGTGAGGAATTAATTGTTACCAATGAAATAAGAATGGAAACCACCTAAACAACAATCTGATAATGTAAACATTACTTGAAGAGAAGATCTGTTAGATCTATCAAGATGTACACTGGTCACTGGTCACTGGTAATTAAAAACAGTGAGTCTATTCCTAACAGTATTAAGGTATTTAATGCTGCACATGGAGCAAGCAAAAAACAGTAACCACTTTAAAATGTAACCCTTCTTTAATTTATCATGAGTATTTCCACTCTTGGATACACAGTACAAGGTGCTCATTTCACTATGTGGATGCGAAAATCCACATTCTGGCAAGGAAAGTAAAAAATTCATACTGTATATACAGCAGTATATGATCATCAAAGCCAATGGCTGCCAAGAAGGGTGCATGGTCTGTCAAACATCAAAATCCTAAGCTATCACATGAAGAATCCATGACATATTCTCAATATGCAATATTAAATTGCAAAAGTTTAAACAATACATGGTCTAAGTTTGTAATATCACTGTACTGAACAATAATACTTATAGCTGCCGAGTTGTAGAATGCAAATATGCATTCTGTACAAAGAAAAGTGGGAACTTGTCACCTTTAAATGGACATTTGGTACCATGTTTAAATTGATTTAAATAGTCTCATAAAACATGTTGATACTTTTACCTTTAACTACACAGTGTCTTCCAGTTTACAGTTCCATAATTCACGTAGTATGCAACATCTAATGCCACGAGACTACTAAAACTGTAGCTATTATTTATTACCTGCAGAAATATTATTTCCCTTATATTCCAGTAAAAAAACACAAGCATTTCAAGACCTACTGTTGTGCTACAATTCAATTTAATACTTGATCCCTAAAAAAGGTCAACTGATTTCTAGGCTTTTAGTTATCTAGTTATCAACCACATGCATTCTACCACATGCATCAACCACATGCACAGTGACTTCAATGTCAAAATGTCTGCTGAATACTCAACTATTTAAAGTTGTTTTTATTTTTCTGTACATCCTACCTAGAACATTAAACAAATAGCTTTGGGCTACATAATTTTTAGAAGCTAAATGCATTACAAACATTTTCAAACAGTATAGCAGAAAGATAGGAAAATTACATTACATTTGTGCAAAAATGTACCCCCTTACACTCATACTTGAATTTTTTGTTTTTCCTACATTTGCCTGAGAAAACAGTTCAATATAATACAATTCACTGATTGCAGAGGTCTGTCCCCTTAGAGTTAACTAACTTCATCTGAAAACCTTCCAAGTAACTCATATTTGCCTGAAGCCTGGAGTAAGCAACAAAGGAAAAAAATAAAATTATTTGTACAACACTTGAAATGAGAAAGAATATCTGAATAATAATTAAGAAATGTGATGCATCCTCTATTTTTCTAAAATTTCATGAATAGAAGGAAACTCAATTATAATTTTGTCCAGAGTTTGAATATTAAAACCAAAATCAGGAAAAAATTTTCTAATAGGCCATGAATACAAATTTAAAAAGTAACTTCAAGTTAGTCACCTTGTATAATAAGTCACCTTGTATTGTATACAAATACTAACAAATAAGCTTTTTTGAATTCTATGCAATTTGACTGTTTTCTTTTTTCATTTTTTCTTTAAGTGTAAACAAATGCAGATTATCAACCTGTTGAACGTAAAGGTAGCATGCAAAACCAGCATTAACATATACTGTAGAACAGAAATACAAGAACCATAGATTATTGAAGCACTTAATCCAGTTTAACAAAGACATACTACTCAGATGTATCTGCAATCTAGTTCATTTAAACTTTCAAGAAACCCATTGCTTTTCCTGGACTAAACATAAATGGATTCAGTAAAACCATGCCAAACAATGAACAATTAGATTAAATGCATTACCTGAATTTGATTCTCAAAAGTGGCTCTGAAAATAACAGTGTGCATGCTTCAATGGTTGGAGTGAATTATTAGGTACAGTAAACCACACAAGATAGCTTTAACAATGTACATACTGTATAACATTTTCGTTTTTTTCAGTTGACACAGGGTGCAAAACATTTTAAAACAAGAGCAAATCCAACTGGAAACAATAATGCCAAAGATACTTAAAACGACCTTAAAATGTTTCTTACCTTGCACATTATAAAGACGGAGAGAATGGGTGAAATGATGGTAAGAGCTTGTAACTTCTGAAATAACAGGCCCTTTCATTACTTTTATTACAGGTTGATCTGAAGTAATGTATGGCTGAAAGAATGAAAGCAAAGAGTATTAATTTTCAAGAACATTTAATCACATAAAAAACAAGCTTTTATACATAAAGCAAAGTGGAGAAAATGTAGGACAGATCCCTGTGTGGAGAGGTGTGTAATGGCGTGTAATGTCATATTTTACTACGAGAGCCCGGACTTCTGGGATGGTTAACCTCTTTCTTGCCGCAGCTGCAATCAATCCAAGTTTGATTCTGGCTACAGTACACCATGGCAGATACCATTTTGCTAGAGGTTGGGAATTAAAGAAGGTGATCGAGTTTCTCCCACAATCTGACATGATGACTGCCACCTCTTGCTTGTAAGTTTCTCAGAAATCTTTCTCTGCTTTTGTGTCATTTTAAGATGTTACACCCATGACAAATGCTTTTTGGTTTTACTTAGTTAATATACTGGGAGATCCACTCTCCTGTGGGGGTTAGCGATTTGTCTAATTCCTCATGAGAATGTTGAAAGTGCTCTTTCATTCCAACATTCACCCCTTCAGTGTCTCTTCCTTCATCACAGTTTTTTGTCACAAACTACTACTGATCTTGGTGGATTTTGATTGTTTTTGCATCATAGAGTGAATAAACATTTTTTGGGGAATATATACAAGCATAAGGAATATACACAAAAAAGGCAACTGATGAAAATTCTAATTATGTCAGTTTGAAATAAATCCATTTTACAGCTGCCTTGTTTTTAATACTGTATTAATGTATCATGTAATTTTAACGGCAACCTGTAAATTGCAAGGCTCAAAGTTAGTAGCGTTTATGCCTTAGTACATTTATTTCTGAATTTAACCTTTATGTTGTTTTTTTTTCACATCAACAGGTACAGTATCATTTAATACAGACAGCCCTACTAAAATCTATTGAAATCCAGGTCATATATAATTCCTTTTCAGTTAGGCTTTTTCTACATGCTCATTTTTTTAGACATGAAATTACCTATTTCCCATTTTTACACACGTGCTGTACAGACTAATACAGGACAATGAAATATAATTTTTAATGCAGGTAATGTATATTGACTTATTACCTGGGTCTAATCATATACAACAAATACCAAAGCAGTTTCGTAAGGCTTATGTTATACAAGCTTTAAAAAGAAAGCATGAAAGCAAAGAATATTAATTTAGTTCATAGCCACAACTTTTACACCAGCTGGAGATCTATAGCATTTTAATCTCATACAGCTGCACTGCAGTAAAATACAGATGCAGCCCTTCAAAATACACAGTAAAACCCCGTACTGCGTGAAATTATCTACAGCTTAGTGCGTTATACCACAATACGTGATTGGCTGAAAAGAATGACTGACAGGTGGCACTCGTGGGTACATTGGTTGTTAGTGAAATCTGCTTAATATTGAACATTAATATGGAATTTTACAACTAAAGGGAAATGTTAGTAGCTGAGCATAAAAAGAAGAGGAACATAACATGTCTGAAGGTCATAAATAACATTAATTTAGTAATATAAACATATTATGTAAACTGTATATGGCCGGTATCGGTAGTTTAAATAAAAAATACACACATATATAGTTTTCCACTTCATAAACATTCTTCATAAACATTTTAAGGATCAAAGTCTTTAATTCAGTTACATAGTGTGGTTATTTTGGAAAAGTTTTTATGTGCTCTTTCTGACTATATAAGTTTATATACTTCATAAAATGTTTGAACCTTTTCTATGAATACCTGCGCTCGCTAACACAGTAAAAAAACACATACTTTTTAGAATTTGATTAATAGGGAATATAATATGGAATCGCATATCTAAAGAAATTAATAACAATATAATTATATTCATATAGCTCAAATTATTACAGTAGTACACTTTCCTTGTAAACATCTGCATCAATTTGACCCGCGATTACTTGGGAACTATTTCCTGCCCTTTTCAGCTATAGATTAAGTTGTCAAGTGGCACGTTGGTGTAATGGCTTAGGTGTGTGCCATGCATGCTGGAGGTTGGGGGTTTCAACCAGGCTCTTGCCATGAGTTTTTTTTAACAAATAAACATTTGTTTGAAAAACTTAAAATAGTAAATATTATTGACATTATATTGAATTTGTTGGTATTTCTAAATATCACAACACATTTAAAGTTAAGTGATTTATTAATAACAAATAATAATTTCAAGCTGCTTGTAGTTTAAAATTGTATTTTGTTCGGAGTGATTTAAATTTATGAAATGTCTATTTTTGAGACAGGATGTTCCAGACCTCTGTTTGATTTCTGAAACTCCCTCTGTATTCCATGTTTTAACCTTTTCTACGAATACTTGCGCACATTATCGCAGTAAAAAACCTCATACTTTTTAGAATCCACTAAATAGGGAATATAATATAGAATCACTTACCTAAAGAAATTAATAACGATATTAATTTAAGGATTTAAATATATGTGTTTATATAGCTGGTAATATTACTGTAATCCACTTTCTTTGTAAACATGTTTTATTTTTAATTTGACTCATTTACGCATGATTACTTTAGAAATATTTTTTAAGCTGTTGGTCTCATCTGGGTTTCCAAGCAGCCTGTTGGTACAGTGGGTTTGCCGCTAGGAGTTCAATCTAGGTGATCTGAGTTCAATACCCGGTTTGGGCCCAAAACTTTTCTTCTGACAGACTTTAAAAATATAAAATAGTAAATATTATGTACACTATATTAACATTTGTTGGTGTTTTTTATATATTATAACATATTCAATGTTAAGTGATATTAAGAATAAAATAAAAATGTGAATGACACAGAGCCTGCAACCTAAAGATTTAAAGATCGCGATGTGTGCAAAATTTCACAGCTTTTATTTAAACAGTATCTAGTACCTGGGTGCATTTTTAGAAACCTTAGTTTGAATAAAGAGGATCCCAGGTGCAAGTGACTTCCTAACGTGAGAAGGTATTATGCTACATTTTTCATGCATTAGATGAAGCCTTCTGAAATCTCTCAAAAACATAATCTACACATTTGTTCATCTAAACAAATATCACAGTAAAATAAAAAAAAATGTTTTCCGCATTATCACCTTACACCAGTGGGGGAAGAAAAGTACCCGCAGTCATTTTTTTCACTGACAAAGTTGATTCATTCAAAACTCATTCAAAATCGTGTGGGGTGTTAACACATACACTACTTAACAGAACTGCTTGTAAGAGCAAGATGACTTTCTGCTCAATTAAATAAAGCTATAGCACAGAGAGATTTTAAATTTTTCAAGCAGAATTAGCTGTTTGTCAAAATTTGCTACTTTGCAAGCAGAACACGGCTTCCCAAAAGGTACCTTTTGTCTCTTGTGCAAACTCAACAAAGGTTTATTTTTTATAATTCCGAAATTTGAACGGTATGCCTCAGGGACTCATTATAGTAATTTAGGGAATATGGTTCATGCAGCAAAATCAAAACACCCCCCCCCCCTCCCAGCTGGGTCTCCAAAGCTGTTCCAAAGCCTGGTTGGTTGGTATGGTTTCAAAGTATGTGTGAATAATCTTTTCTTACTCCAGTTATTAATCCAATCTATTTTTACTCATCCGGCTATGTAAAAATATAACCAAAAGGATCACTGTAAAGGTTAAATTCCAAGCTGAAAAGACAAGACTTAACATGTCTTCTCTAACTTTTCAATTTACAGCTTGTCCATGGTCATTTATTATTGTAACAAATGGCAGGCATACAGATGGTACAAGCTGGTTGCAGTGCGGTGAAAGTACAGCCCTTGATACACAACATGTAAATATAACCCTTTTCCCACATTTAACTCAAAGAACTGTGTGAAGAAATCCTAAATCACAAAACCATCATTTACAATAATTTATCCAGATACAAATCATTTCAAAATGTTTCCAAAACGTCCACTTGTGATACTTAGGCTGCTTAGTTACACGATTCCATATAAATATAACTAGTGATGTTAAATCACTACAACATTTATCTTTTTACAATAACAGCAAGTAGTGCTCTTACTACGTCTTCTTAGAAAAGGATAAAACTTTATAACTTTTTACGAAGTACAGAATATAAGCTTAATAATGTTAGAACAAGCACGTTGAAACCAGAACCCATTTAAGTTACCAAGTTAAAGACTTTGATGCAGAAAATATTTATGCATAATTAAAATATGAAGAAGGTAGAAGGTTGTGTACTTTTGTCCAACTAAGCAATCTTGCTTTCATAAAATATACCAACTTTTTAATGTTTAATGATTAACATGTTGTAATACAAAGTTTAAAATTATTAAAAGTCTAAAGAGTATACAACTTAAATACTTAATTGGAAAAAGATTGTCTCTCAGCAGAAACTGGACTTCGAAACCGGAATTCGAAACCGGGTGTTTTCTGGCGACAGTTTAAATGATGTATATGAGACGTTAAGCTTTATTAGCTCCACCTGGCGGTTTTACGAGGTGTTTCCGGATACCATTATCATATTTTAATTAATGTACCGTAAGATGCGGTATACTGCGCCACGCCCACCTTGTTTTAACGCAGCATACCTTGCGAATTTTGAATGGCTGGATCTGTATGTACAACTGATGACTGATTTTACCTCAAGATGTGGCAACTGCCTCATACATGATATGACAGTTTTCTATACAATTAATCGAAGAGCGTACAAATAGTTAACTTCAAAAACTTAAAACTTCAATTTCGGAGTATTCAGGACACTTAATATTTGCAAACAAGTAATTGAAACAGCAGCAAATATCACCTTGAAATAAGATCATGTCAATTCCAGGCAATACCAGTCAAACTTTGTGTCAAACATTTTAAAGGTGAAATTCAGAAAACAGCAGTATCTAAACAAATCTTTAAAGGAAAAGAACAGTGTCTACTCAATAACTTTTTACTGGGGTAAAACTAGGTATTTTCAATTCAAACTTTACATTACATGAAAAAAGTTATATAAACAGGATGGCGTTGATCTTTAATGGGCTAAGGTAGTTAAGGTACTAAATCATCGATTTCACAAATACCCACACACTTTTTTTCTGTGTCTTTTGATGTGTCCTTTTCCATGTCCCTAACTGTTGCCCCACCCTCAGCTTTAGCATCAACACTTTTCACTGTCACAAGCCTTTTACTAGCAAAGACAGTGTCCATGCATGCAGCCTACTATGTGGCACACACTGTTGAGCCACAATCTAATTTTTCACACATTCACAGTGGTGCAGCTCTCATGGACAGGACACCACAGAGACACAGAGAACAAGCCAAGGATACCCAGGCTAACAGTTTGGAGGCTACTACAGCACTGCCATTTGGCCTGCATCCAGTCAGCTAATGACTCAAACCAGCAATGTCATGACTACAACGCTCAATCTTCTATCCAAATGAGAATCTTTACTAGCTGTACCACTTAGGAGCCCTTAACAGAATATTATTACTTACTTCAAAGAAATACAGTTTCTATTAGGACATAAAAAGAACTAAACAAAGACTGCTAATGAGTTGAGGCCAATCAGCTCACAGTGTTCAGTTATGCCATGAGTTCAGTGTGCATTAAATGGACTCAAAGTATTTTGGCATCAGCCTCTTCTAAGGATGTGTCATTCCTTTTCATTGATATGAAAAAAAACTCAATGTTGTGCACATAAAAGCATTCCGGAAGCACTCAAAACAGAAATGAAATCTACTAAACAGAAAGTACAAGAATTTGCAAAACATAATCTCTAGCCTCAGTAGGTAACTATGGAAACACCACACTACAGGAGTTAGAGTGTAATGTATGTGTATACTGTATGCTTATGTGTTGTGAGAGTATCTGTTGGGACAACAAGTGTTTATGCAATGCCAATTTTTTATTTTTCAAATTTCAGCATAGATTTTTCCCATAATAAAATAATAACTGATATATACCTTAGCCTCTCCATCTGGTAGAAACAGATATGCTCCACTCTTGTCTCTGTTGCTAGTTGTTCCATACCACATAAACTCCACCTTCACATTACGTTCTGTCCCCTCTTCTTTAGATTTCACCCTCTGAAAGAAAAACTGAACTTAGCTCAAAATTTCTGGTTTAAGGTTTGCTAATTTGCTGCTATATATATTTATCATATTTTTATTATATTATATATTCATTATATTATACTGTTATTAAATCAATAACAATCAATTTAGGGAACAATACCTGTGAAATTACATAATATACACATAACAGGAGTCAATTAAAAAAAATCTTCACAATTGTACTTTGAAATATAACCATTTGAAAAAAATATTAATTAATATTTAATTGAATTACTGTGATGCTTTTTTAAAAGAACCCCAAGTGCTTCACACACTTTATACAGTGAATGGGGACTCAATCAATCCATTACTGAAGTGCAGTAATGACATGTGGCAGCCATTATGCACCTGCAGCCACAATGCACAGCAAATCATGTGGAGAAGTAAGAAACTGCTTCAACAGTTGAATTCAGGGGCAACTTTAGGACCTCATTTTAAGTTTAATAACTTTTTTGAAGAATGGCATCTCCTCCAGCACAGTTTCCCCAGTTACTATACTGGGCCATTTGTTTTTGTAAACCATGCCACCTATAGGTTCACCAACAGCAATTACAGAAACAACCTAGTTTTCTTTTGAGGCCTCCCCACCCAGTACGAACCAGGTTTAGCTTTGCTTAGCTTCTGTGAAATCGGACCAGATTAGCCAAGGTGGTGGCAATGCTACTGCCACTGGTTTTGTTGATATTGCTCTGCTTTAAACCAAGCTTAAATAACATATTTTAGAAAGTTTAAAACTTGACATCAGCTTTAATAAATTCTTTAAATTAAAGCTTATTTTACTTTTGCTGAATTAATAAAATGAATAGTGCATAGTGCATAGTATGTGGTATCATTCACCAAATGTAGTTAAACATTTAGGACCTGCATTGGATCCACATTTCTACAACATCCCAGATTGAGTTTAGCCAACCTCCATTAATCCAGAAGATCCAGAACACCACACTTTCAGATGTGGATTTTCAATGGTGAAATGCACAGTGTCTTCCTGTAAAACATTCATTCTGAAGGATTCATCAACACTCAGGTCTCCATCTTTCTTATATATTGTATATTCAGCCATGACCGTGTTGGAGTCTGCACCTTCTGTGAGCTGGTACACTCCTAGTCCAAGGGCAGACAGGTGAGCCACAAAGGAAACCTTCCAGGATAAGAAAATAAAAAAAATGCAAATAAAATAGGCACATATTGGTCATACACAAATTATTTAGTTTAATTTTAATTCAGATTTTAATAAGAACACAAATGTAAATTACAGGACAAAAGCTGGAAGATCAGAATAATGTGTTTAATGCAATTTTTTTCCTGGGATTTATGTTAATTCAAGGGTAAGAATCCTTTTACTGCAAAACAAAACACAAATATAAGGTCAATAACAACATGATTCGCATTTGTGTGCATGTGATTATTGAGAAATGATGTTTACAAAAAATAAACTTTCTTAGTAATAATGTTTAGGGTTCAGTGAAAAGAGATGACAGGTGTGAAAATCAAGAATATTTATCATATTGCCCCAGTTTAATTTTACTTTAGGACATGCAGCATTCATAACAGCCAAAATTTAAATGAGGTTTGGTGGTGCTGTTAATTGTAATATTATAATGGAAACTCCTGTAATTTCAATGCAGTCTTTCATTATCCCTTAAGATAGCCTGTAGAAGAAATGTCAGTACTTCAGTAAATACAAACATAAAAACACTGTATTGCACAAGTCATTTTCATAACAGAAAAAGTTCCACTGAGGATCACTGAGTATATACAGTATAGGCAAAATTCCCCCATTATGAAAACAAAAAACTTCTGGGCTCAGTTCAAATGCTTGAAATTTCAAAGTTTTCTTTGGCAGCTAAGCCTTCAAAGGTACAGTATCTGAAGGTTTGTCACACTTTCAAGCAGTTATTTTTTTTTCCCGGTAATACAAAATAAACCTTTTTGACTGTGGAGGATAACAGACTTAAAAGCCACTTAAATGCCAACTTCAATCAACTGATTTTTGTACTTATTACAAGATAAACTTGAAGAGATCATGACAAGTTTTTATTGTCAGTTCAGTTCAGAACCATATTATCAATCATTGTGTAGAGCTGGCCATTTGATGACTTTCAAATTGTTGCTTACAGTTGTATGCAAAGTTTTGGGCACCCCTGGCCAAATTACATGTTTTGTTAATTTTCTAAGTGAAAAGACATTAACAACCTCTACAGTGAACAAATTTAAACTTGACATATTTCTGCAAATTGTAATGCACGGTTACTATTTATATAAGTTAACAGATTGAAAAACATAAAACAGTAAATGTGGCATGTGCAAAAGTTTGGGCACGCTTCCAGTTGATCCACTAATGTTATTTAGGACATTACTGGGACAAGATTTACAAGACTTGCAATTCCCCATGCCAGTCAAAAATTGGACCAAGATGTGATTTTAATTTTATTGATTTGAATTATACTGAGCATTAAAATAAAAACTGCTGTTGAGGATGTGCAGTGTGTGAAAAAAAGAGGATGAGCAGTGTGTGAAAAAACAGTAGAGAAAGAAAGTTATTTTCTGGGCATACTTCACCTGGAAAGCTTCTTTGGATACTCTGGCTGTTTCCTCCCAGACAGCACTGACTTGTGCCTTCACTGGGTGTCCAAGAGCTGTGAGTACTCTTACTCTTGGAGTATTCACATACACAGTTACCACAGCAGACCGATCCTGTTCTGTGGGGTTATAGATTACTAGTGACCTGAAAAAAACAATACAGTCATAAAAACTGAAAAAAGGTTCAGCAATTAAATTGGTACTGCTTAGCCACTTTTAGCAATCAGTTCATATTAATTAAAAACTAAGGAAAAGGAAAATCAACTGAAACTGTTGTTAGTCATTTATTATGTGCTATTATATTTGTCCAAAAGATCTGTAAAGCCCCTCACGTATGAAAAAAGCATGCATTTATAAAGCATGCTTGCACTTAACTAAAAGTGCACATGAAAGATGTGGACAAAACTTTTCAGTTGGACTCTGCTCTGCTGTTTTATCAGAATCCCTGTACATGTGGGAGTTGTTTCACTGTCGTGTTACAAGATAAGAATACTGTACATGCACATCATGCTCCATTAAGTCACCTAATACACCATCTCCTGTAGCAAAATGTATGCAGCTTTGAAGAACTTTCAAACATGAGTGAAAGCCTAATGGAAGGGCAGAAAAAAATAAATTGAAATGGACTTAGTGGAAAATTAACCTTCTGCCCTTTATTCTCATCTTTGACATCTCAGGTAAAACATAATGGAGACATGTGACAGGCTTGATACCCTACATACTACAATGACATCTGATAGGCCAATCTGCAATTGGCAATGTGCCAATTTCCTCCAGGGATTCCCTAAACAGGAAGGCTATATGCAGAACTATTTACTGTTTTGGGGGGAAGGGAGGTTGAAGGAGTAGAGAGCTTAACACAATTTACCTGGGATTCGCACTAAGCTTAATCACAGTCTTGCGAGGCAAAGCATCTTGAGAGGGCTGAATGTCATCCTGACGGTAAAAATGGATACTTTACACATAAAAGGCAACACAAGTATATACATAGTGAAAATGTACAACTGACTGAAATTAATAAAGATTTGCAATCTAATTTTCTCTGTTCCAATTTTTAATCAAATAAACTGAATTATTTTAATCAAATTGTGTATTGGATAACAGACCACGAAATACATTCAAATTATCTAAGGTTTAATTTTGCAAGCATAGAATAATTCATGAAGTTGACAGCTTTTTAAAAAATACTTATAATTCAATCTCATTACTGGGGGCTGTCCATATTTTATCTAGATACTGCAAAGAGCTAAAATACAAATATGAAAAATCTTGAAATGTACTGTACAAGACATAATATAAATGAAATTGTCCATGTTTAAAATATGTTTTTTTTTATAATTAATCAGTGACTGCCAAGATACTTTTCCAATATTTGCAATTCATGTTACGGTGGTTGCAATATGCCATTTAAACTCCTAGAAGTTATGATAGAAAATTATAAACACTAAACACAGACAAAAAAATAAGTGAACTCGTAAATTCACATTTAACAATATAATAATTGAAAACAAAATTAGGATCAGAATAATAATTACTCTGTTCAATTTAAAAAAAGCACAGGGCAAAGTAAGCATGCTAGTTTATAATGTCTTCTCACAGAAACCTTTAATACTGGATACTGGCGATAGGTATGCAGAGAGCATTCAAAGTAGATAATTTTCCAAATCATGTTTTAATTGGAAGCAGTGGAGTACTTGTTAAGGGTCTGAACTTGAAACTAGAAAGCTGAAGGATAAAATCCTGTGTGAGGCACTGTTTTTTATCCATGAGCAAGGTACTTGCTCTGATTGCTTCAGCAAAATGCTCAGCAGTATAAATAGGTATACATACATATTAATGTTGCAGTGGATGAAATCATCAACCATATTAGTTAAATTAATTATCATATCATAATGTTTGCATAGTAGAAAAGTATTTAAAATGCAATACAGGGTGTGTAAAATCCTAAAATCGGATGTTTTGACATCAATAATCTTTTAAAATTGAATCACAATTCTCATAAAACTGACATACTGATTCTTAACACATCATGGATATCCCCGTGTATAAAAGCTGCTTAAACCATTATTGTTTCTCATGAGAAACACATTCTTTCCATGTACCATTAATAAGTCCTGTATTAGTTATTTACTATCACTCAATAAGTCGTGTTTCAGCAATAAAGTGGTAATACAGATGCAGCCATTCAAAGTGCGCGGTACAGACACGTACCGGAGGTAATTGGCTATGGCGTCGCGCATTGTGACGCACGATGATGCGCGGTACCGCGGTACGTGATTGGTTGACTGACAGGAGCACTCGTGGTCCGTTGGTCTGTCATAGAAAGATTTACAGTAAACGTCTTTACTGTGCCTGTTGTAGTATTGAATGTTTATATGGAATTTTACCACTGAAGGGAAATCTTAGTAGCTGAACATAAAAAGTATACTGTAACGCCCTGTTAAAAGCAAGGGAGTTTTTATGTCTGTTGAAGTAAAAGAAAATGCCTGACAAAGTAGGGCTTGGACAGATTCCAAGTACTTGTACAAATGTGCTAAAGAAATGAAACTTTGAGTATACAGCTTGTCCAAAGTCATTCATTATTAATACTATTAGTAATATCTTCGGTTAAGGCTTTGATGCATAAATATTTCTGCTAAAGGTAGGTTGTGTACTTTTGTCCCACTGAGCAATCTTGCTTTCATAAAATATACCAACATTTTAATGACTGATGATGCTCCTACATGCTGTAATACACAGTTTAAATTTAAAAGCTCAAATGCTGTACATGAGAGGTTACGCTTTATTGGCTCCTCCTGGCGGTTTTACAAGGTGATTCCAGATACTTTCCAGCATGACGTCAAATGACGCGATTAACCCCGTGATACTGCGTGATACCGCGACACGCCCACCGGGGTATACCGCGAAATACCCCACCCATTTTGAATGGCTACATCTGTACTTGCCTACAAGTACCTGTAGTATGGAGTCTATAGTTAGTGCTATATTTTATTATATAGTCGAAAAATTTTGAATTCTTTAACAGAGAATGAGGAAGAGCAGACAGGCTCTTCCGATCCATCCACCATCTAGCCATTCACCTTTAGACTTGCTAAAGCTCTGCAGTGATGTACAAGAAGAGCAACTGCAAGAGAGTCAAGTCCCTCATTGACAGTGGACTATAGCTGTTTTATGAGGAGACAAGTGGGCCCAGGCTGATTAATCCACCAGTACTCAAAGAAGATGCCTTAACAGGTGAAGCAATGTGATTTGTTTCTAAATAACTTACCATCTGAAGGAAGGGAACCGAAGAGCTGTGACTGTACTCCTCTTTGTTCTTCAGAATAAGCCAGTGAGCTGAGTTAATTATCACTCTCTTTAGGTTTAAAATTGAATGGAAGAGTCTGCAAGGAGGTCAAGTACAAAATTTGTATACTGTGCAAATGGTCATTTAAACCTTCTTCTTTAAACTCTAAATTAAGCATAAGTCAACATACACAGGTATATCACTTACATGATGGTTCCTAGTTATTATTATTGTTTAATATTAAGTGCAGTCATTATATTGTTCCTATAATACTGCTAACCCCAAACTTCCATGTGGGGCAGGTTTGATGTAAAAAGAAAAAAGGTTAATAACAGACTTTTCTTTAACTTAATCCAGACGTATGATGTATTTCTTTTGAAACACCCTCAGATTGTTTTTTAACATTCCTATCTCTGATTATACTCTTATCATGCTGTATCATGTAGAACATTAATTATTTAAAAATGTTTTTTTTATACTACCAATCAGTACCATAGCAGAGTTAAAAAAATATGTAAAAAGGAACTTTCTGTCATAGCATACAGCTTTATATCCAAATTGGGTGCTCCCCTTGTTACTCACCATCTGTCCATATATATTGCTAGGTCATATTCATAATAAGTTTAAGCAACTAAAAATAACATTTGATCTTCTTTCCTTAAACGTGACTAAACTAAATACAATGTGAGAATTGTGTAGAGGTCATTAAGGACTTGTTTTAATCTAACAAAAACGTAACAAAGACAGATAAGGCACAGAAAAAGTTACAGCTGGAATTACCTCCATTGTACGTGAGTGTGATTGTTTAGATAGTCAGCTCTGTGTTTGGAATCCCACATCACAGCAAAAGTAATTCCAGTCTTTTTACATTATCTCAGCTCCATTACAAGCAACAGACAGTGAACAGAGTGGAGGGCAAGAGGTCTCGTTAGCTCCTCAGACTAGATCTCATTCATAGGTAAACTGTCTGCATAAAGTGCCCTCAGAGAGAAAGCAGTTTAAACACCACGCACATTATGAAACCTGGAAAGCTTTTCCTGAACTACGTTTTCATTGTGCTAGAAAATAAAAACTTTTCCAAATAACATGTATTTTAACATAATAAAAACAACAGTACGAATATTAAGCAGGATACCTCAATGGATTGATTTCCCTCTACCTCAATCACAATCTATTGTTTATTATTAAATTATATTAAAAGATAAAAAAAAAACTATGTAGAAGAATACAGAAAACCTCTTTCTTGTCATTAACAAAAGGCTACTGCTCTCCGATTCAGAATATACTACTGAAAAACAAACAGCATGACCGACATATCAAAAACCTGTCCCATATGTCAGTAGTACTCATTCACAGAGTAGGTGAAGGCAAAATGGCTTCCTCCCATTACTAAAATAAAATATGGTCTTGCAAGAGCCATATGTGCCTTTTTGCAAACCCAATTAAAATTCAATCCACTCTGATGGTTTCCTGCAGTTGCATACAGGCTAGGATGGCTACCTGGCCAAACATCAGCACCACTTTGCCAAATAAATGCATGAATGCAGACAAAATCTATTTAACTATCCTAATAGAATGTTATTTACCACTGAAAAATGTTTTTAGTTATACACTGCAAAATCATTTGTTAGCCAGCAGATGAGATAATATGTAAGCACATAGCTATCAAGTCTCAAATATTGGGACCACACCTCAAGTTCCCAAGTCCTGGTTTGAAAATCTCAACCATCCATGTGAAGTCTAGGTTGATTAAGAAAAGAAGTAATGAAAATAAACTTTTAACATTTTTGTAGAATCTTGTAATTTCTTTAATTAACCAATGTGTTTTTGTACAGAAATAAAAGACATTGTCAATACAAATACTGTGTACTATTTTTGACAGAAAGTCCCAGGCATTAAGGGTTTCGACCCTTGAGAGGTATGTAAATTGATGTAGAAAAAAAGTTTCCTCGCAGCTGAATCATTGAATCACAGACAAATACTGTGTCCTTTGTCCCTCGTTGCTGACAAAAGCTTGTGAGAAACAATCTCTAAAGAATAATAAAGGGAATGGAGGCCACTTAATTTTCAACGTGGAAAAAAAGACATTGCCTTAATGAGTGCAAAATTATAAACAGTGCCTCAATAACAAAAAGAATACAATGATGACAGAAAATGGCAAATGTGCATTTCAAGCACAAAGCTCTTCGTCAGAAAGCATCATTGGTATCCCACATGTTTGATGAAATCTATATAAATCAACTACTTTTTGTAGGCAAATAACATCTCATTCAGGACAATTTTGTTTAGTTACAAGCTAGTCAGTTCACAAACTAATACAGTAATCTGTCAGACCACGAGATGGTGGGGAAAGGGTCACATTAACATACTACTTTATGTCATATGGAGGAGGTTACCACCTGGCATAAGCTTTTTCCTGCTTTCATATGTTATTTGTAATCAAGAAATCAAGACATTTTTTAATTTTTTAAAAATTAAAATGCAAACTGAGGTTTACATCTATCCCTGGTATGCTCTCTGCACTCCATGATGTGATCATGCTTCTGGCTTGCAACAGCATACAGTATGTTTTAAAGGTTCAATTTTTAAACATGCATAGATCTGAATTTGCAACTATTATTATTAAATGTGAATAAGAGTTACAGCCTTTTAAAAAGCCATGTTAATATCTTGCAAATGTCTCTTACTGCTTAAAAGCAGAGACTTAAACATTAAATGTACTTTGATTTTTACAGCATGAAAATAATAGCTTTAAGAAACGACTTGTGAAATAAACCTGGGCCTGTATTATTTGGCTCAAGACGTTTAAAGGCCTCAACTTCCCAAAGGGAAATTGGCTGGACACACAGGCTAGCTTGCTCTCAATCATCCTGTCACCTTTGGCATGTTATTTTATCTTGGAGGGAAGAGTATAATTCAGATTTTTGAACTCACATCTGTTCATCTAAAATGATATTTTACAGGGATTGAGATGCCACACTTTGGAAGTTATCGGTTGCTTTTCAGCTTTCAATATAAAACAATCCAGTGCATTTACAGTTTCTGTAGCATCAGATCACCTACTTAATATGCTTTGCTTCTAAATGTAAATTCACAAGACATGGACTATACAGGTTCTGTACAAACATGGACACTGACTGAAATATGACCCATTATATTGTTGTTTCAGCTGATGTGCTGCCGGAAACCAACACTATATTTTAATGAGACCAGTTCAACTACAATAAAGCAACATTTTAATTCACAATAAAGCAACATATTTACATATGCCTACTTCTACTATTTCCTCCTGCAAAAGACATCTCTGTGTAAAACGTAACTTACTAAGGTCATGATAGTCTTCTAAATATCTACCCACCAGCCATCTATGTTAAAAGCCTGATGTCAATTTAAATAAGTAAATAAATGTTAAGAGAGCAAGTTTATTACAGACAGATATGTGAATTGAGCAGCACAGTTGTGCTGTGATTAACGGTCCTGCCTCAAAGCTGTGGAGCCTTGGCTCCAATTCCTGCGCTCCTATCTGTATATTCTCCCTGTTTGCGTGACTTTCCACAGGGTGTTCCAGTTTCCTCCACAGTCCGAACACATGCAGGTAGGTTAATTGACTTCCATAAAACTGGCCCTGGTGTGAGTGTGAGCTTGTCCATGTATGTGCCCTGTGAAAGAATGGCATCCTGTCCACAGTGTATCCCGCCTTAGCCCACATTAGGCACCAGCTGTGCTTGATAAGTGGATTCGAAAATGGATGGATGTCTAATTTGGAAATCAATCATTAGTCAAAGCAAACTTTCACGCATACAAGTAACATCTCATACATCCTGAAGTACTATACATCATAGATGCCATATGTGAAAATTCAAATAACACTAAAGCAAGCTAATCAACGTTTTTTACTAAAAAAACAACTATTTTTAAGACATTCAATAGTCAGGTGTTAAGCACATAAAATGGTCTTTATGCAACAACCTTTTCCATTGTTACTATGGACTGACCAGAACACTTCTCCGATATCACAATGAATAAGGTTTAATGCAAGATTCTGACATCTTTCAGAAAAATTTGGATTTTCATTTCATTTTCTTTTCAGGTCTGACATTAATCACATCCAGTTTGATTAGGGCGAGCCAAAACATTTTTAAGAACTACGTCCAATTAATTATTTTTCTGCACAAAAAATCTTACCTTGTGCCATAGTCCACAACTACCCAGTCTTTACCGGTTCCTGTAATGGCATCATGGTGCTGAAAAAGGCCAAGATTTCTTCTGGCTTCAGTTAGTAGTTTATAATTCTCAGATGGAAAATCTTTCAGTTTGCCAGACTTCTGAACACTAGCCAAAGCAAGAGAATTGAGAATCTCAGCAGCCCTGGGGAAAAAAGAATAATGTTAAAAAAATAGTTTTTATTGATGTATAGGATTTATTTTCTCACAGAAAAACACTACATTTTCTCACATTAAGTGATGTTCAGGTAGGCCACAGCACCCATTTTGTTCATTAGCCTTGATGAACTGTTATGTATTAGAAGGAGCCCACAAGAGTATGACCCCATTGATAAGGCACTAATTAACACCCCTAATGATCACATTACAAATTGCATCATTAGATGGCAGGGTGCTTGATTGGTGTAAGGTTTTTCTGTCCCACTCTTTTTTTCAGTAACATTTCTAATGTTAGTTATTGTTTTTTTTTCATTTGTTTTCTAATTTATACTGTAATACAATGATAGAAACCATGAGGATCAAACTTAAACCAAGATGAGCCACTCTGTTTTGCTCATGGTAACAGACCCTACAGTGTTGGCAAAGAAGTGTGTTGTTCAATTAACACTGAATTATAGTACAGTTATATAAAATAATCTGTATATATATATTGTTATGGCTGGGGGAAGTCAACATCTGAATAGGAGCAGAGGTCTATATTGAGCTACTGGTGGTCTGAGAGACAATAACCAAAAGGAATCTGCTGGCTCAGTTAATTACTTGGTAAATCATTAAGAGTCAAAACAGTTCAGCATAACATAAGAAAGCATAACACGGAAACAGGAGGGAAAGAGATGAACAAAGAGAAAGACAAAAACAGAAAAAGAAGATAGTGAGGAAGAAGAGAAGCGTAACAGGTGATAGGCCTTGTTCAAATAAACCTTAAAGACCAGATTCAAGCTCAGCATTTGATCCTTGTTTAGGAGAGACTGCCATTCTGGTATCCTAAGAAATTTATTTCCTTTAGTACCCCTCACATTTTTAGAAACCCCAGACTAAAAATAATTTGCTCCTGGTTAGGGATGCATTTTTAGAATAGGGAGATTCCCATTCACTTTGGAGCATCTAGGTTTAGGGGAAGGGATAATTAGCTCTGGATTGTATTCAGTTTTTATTTAAGATGCAAGTTTAACTCTTTTGTTTGTCTTGTAAGACATTATATTAGATTGCTGTGACCTGGACTGGCAGTCTGGATTATTGGATAGTCAAGATGTAGGCCTCTGAGAAGCCATGTTTGCAAATAGAGTAACTTGCATATTGTGTTGTTTCTTTTGGGCTATTATTTGTTTATCCTAGTTTGCCTTTCATTGTTTCATCGGAGTTGTGCCAGTGTAGGAAACACTTGGGTGTCTCTAACTATACCAAACACTTGGGTATATTCTTGGCATGTCTCTGACAATTTGGGGATTAGAATTATTTACTTTTATCACTAATTATACCACTGTGTATTCTATATTTTCTAAATTAGCCCCTATATTTGTAAGAATATATCACATTAAAATTTCAATAACCACTCCAAAGGAACAATGGCAAACATTCATGAATGTGTTTTCTCTTGTCAAGGTTACAGCAGAAAAAGAGCAATCTGACAATCTGAATGAGGCACTTCATTAATTTTGCTGTCTCTGTGTCTTGAAAATAAGCCTTTGGTCCATATGTTATAAATGTAGAAATTATAAATGTACAGTAGTTGAGGATCCTCTTAACCTAGTAGAGTGGTTTGGCAGACCTATGCACATAAAACTTGTTACAGTGTAAAACAGTACAGCCAACATCACAAATAGTGGGAAATTGTGAGTCTTGGAGCCAGACCAGACTTGGTGTGAGTAATTTCCTACTCTGCTATAAACCCTTTATTGTCTGTCAGGACTTGAAATACGCTGGGCAAATGTTCCGAGGTCAAATTCTTCCAGCACGGCAGTACCTTTAAAGCGGAGACGACGGCACCGAAATGTTTTGGCACGCCTTCTCTTTAAAGCCCTGGCCAAATATGAAGACAGTATGTACAGTTATGATTCAAACGGAATTAAAAACTACACATCTCAGTTACCATGGTGGTGCTTCTGATCATTGCGTTTAACCAACGAAACAGGGCGAAAAATCAGTCACATGACTTTGGGGCAGTTTCGAAAGCTTAACCTATCAGCAACAAAGCGAAATTTACACCATAGGCTACCTCAAACTGTCAGTTACACAACTGTGTATGTCGCTTAAGCCACTCCTATTTGGCATTTTAGTTATGGAGGCAAAAGACGCCCCCCCCCCCCCTCTGGGTGCCTGATTTGCCGCCATCTTTAACTGTTCCGTGTCCGAATCGCAGTAGCTACGCGTACGAAATAAAGTTAATCCCAACTACAAAACATATATTTTTGTGGTAAGAGGGCGCAAAACATCAGTATTTACTGCTATTTATTACTGTACGATTTATAGTTGAAATCTGAGCCTAAATATAAAGTTAAAATCTCGACAAAGAAAAATAGGAAATATAGAGAAAATAAATCCTTTCTGACATCTAAAATCAGTTTCGATCAAAGTCTCTAAAACGAACAAGAAAAATAGGATTTTCAGAGGGCAATTACGCTGTGTTTATATAGAATAACTGATTTATGAGCAATCTAATTTCTTGTTCGTTTAAAACAGTGAAATGTCAGCTGCAAAAGATCGCACCAGAAACAGCACTCTCTCCGCCTGTCATAGACGTTCAGGAAAGGCTGAATGAAGTCATGTCAAGTACAATAATTCGGTGATCAATAATAACAGTTGTAGGACAAGAAACAAAAGATAGTGAAAACTTAAGCTTTTTAAGGCTAAAACTCAAATTCATTCTACAAATTAAGGCAAATGATAATTTAGGACGTTAAAGTGCTAGAGGTGTAAAAAATACAAAAATGCACATGAGCAAAAAGTTTTAGAAATGGAGCAGGTGTTGCTTTGAAATAAGCAAACAGAAAAGAAGCCATGACTATAGTGCAGAAGAGGGATGCAGGAACACTTGCTTAGATATACAAAAAAATCACAAAAAGGTGTATGTTACAAAAGAACATGCAAACATGTTCATCATGTACATGAACATGTACATCAATTTCCCTTCGCGATCAATAAAGTCTTATCTATAAACATGAAAGAGAGTGAGGAATCAGAAAATTAGCATGCATAAAAAACAGCAATTCTGTCAGTGAGCCCTAAATGAATTAACAGCAACCATGGTTTCATGGAGGGCTTCTCAGATAGTTGGGCATTCAGGTAGATTGCCAGGTGAAAGGATTTGTAAACATATTTTGTTAAAGCAAGTCAGTTTTTTCCGCATGACATAAAATACATTATTAAAAGAAAGTCTAGTCTTTGTCACTAATGAAACCACTAAATAAAGACATAAATATAGAAATCTTATAGAGTTATTTCAAGAAGAAAATTTTCAGAATAATTGCAAATCTAGCAGGATAGAGAAAGCACAGAAAACAGGCAGTTAGATTGATCAGATTAGTATGAAAAGTAATTTAGCAAAGGGAATGGGAAGAGTGACAAACTAGTATACTTAAGATCTTTTTTTCTGAACCAGGGAAAATCTGATCATGTTTCTCTATAACAATAATAAAAAACTTTATTTTATGTATCACCTTTAAAAGTGGCATCTCAAAGCAATACAGTAGATGTAAAAAAAGATAAGAGGACCACAGATTAAAAAGTAAATGCACTCAGGGTACATGACTGATATCGCTGGGAATACAAATTGAGACCTCTGGGGTGCAGCTAGAGAAGACCCTGTCACCCACAGAATGTAGATGTTCTTGAGGACAGCTAGAAGACCAGAGTCAGACGGACAAAGGTGGGGAGTAGACAGATAATAAGCCATATACTGTAGGTACTGAATGAGGATAAGGATTTTGAAGTTGACTCGAAACCTGATAGGTAACCAGTGCAAGGACTTGAAAACAGGTGTAATGCATCCCTGATAGGATTCTCGCCATCATATTCTGAACATATTGAAGATTGCTCAGTGTGGATTTAATTTCCCCAGTAAACAGGGTGTGCATTTATTAATTCTAGAAAAAAAAAAGCCTTTCTTGATTTTTCTAGTTCTTAGTTTCTCTAGTTCCCTTTAAAATAAACTATTATTCCACAATGCAGAGTATTACATGGCCAGTATTTACACATGATATTTGTGATTTAAAGAAATTACCACAAGCACCTTTTGGAGGTTTAAGTGTTGGCTGAGTTATTGCGGGATAAAAGACTAGAGATGTTGGTAAGAAGAAGATAATTTGGGGAAAGCTGAGGAATACACTGATAACAAGAACACTTCCTAATGGGGTTAGGCATACTTTTGATGAAGTTAACAGACTGTATGTTTACATAGATAC